GAGCACCCGGAGCCGGGAGAGACACCCGGAACGGGAGAGACACCCGGAACCGGGATGAGCACCCGGAACCGGGATGAGCACCCAGAGCCGGGAGAGACACCCGGAAACGGGAGAGACACCCGGAACCGGGATGAGCACCCGGAAACGGGAGAGACACCCGGAAATGGGATAGACACCCGGGATGGGGGGCTGGGGATAGACACCCATGGGGGGAATGGGAGGCGCTTCCGTGCAGCCAGCCCCAGCACGCTGCATGCATGCACGAATGCACTCCTGCATGCGCGCTGCGTGCATGCAAGTCCTCATGCATGCGCGCTGCAYGCATGCCCCCTCCCCGGCACGCGTGCGGCATGCAAGCCGCCCAAGGCTGCTCGCTGCATGCATGCAAAGCCCCCTGCATGCAAACAGCATGCATGCGCTCCTGCATGCTCCTTGCACACATGCAAGCCCCCATGCATGCCCGAGGCAAGCATGCAAGCCCCMTGCATGCAARCAGCATGCAAGCKCTCCTGCATGCTCCTTGCATGCATGCAGGCCCCCGTGCATGCCCGGGGCACGCATGCAAGCCCCCTGCATGCAAGCAGCATGCAAGCGCTCCTGCATGCTCCTTGCACGCACGCAACCCCCCCGCACACTTGCTGCGTGCATGCAAGCCCCCATGCACATGCGTGGCATGCCTGCAACTCCCTGCGTGCATGCGAAGAATCTGCATGAAGCCCCCCGCAAGCTCCCTGCATGCATGCACGCCCCCCCGCACACGTGCTGCATGCATGCAACCCCTTGCACCCCTTGCACAGCAGCACGGGGTAGTTTGGGGGCATTTTAGTGGATTTTGGGGGAGTTTTGAAGGGATTTCGAAGGGAAGACCTACCCGGACACGGGCTGCACGTCGGGAAGAGCGGCCGGGCAGGAAACGCACTGAAACTGGAGGCAATAATAAAAATAACCCAGTAAAATAAAGAAATTCGAGCGGAATTTTGAGAAACAAACCCCGAAAAGTTAATTTTGGAAAATCCGCGCTCGGCTCAAACGCGGGTTTTGCCCCAATCAAAACGGGGGCAAAATGAGGAGCGCCCGGGAATGAGCGGCCCGATGGTCCCCGCGCGGCCCACCGGGGGTCAAGGGACCCCCCCGCCCCGCTCGCGACGCGGAAACGGCTGGAAATGGGGTGGAAATGGGGTGGAAATGGGGTGTTTTCCCGCCCCCCCCCCGCGCGGGGGCTGCTGGGAGTTGTAGTTGGGGCGCGGGCTGCGACTCCCGGCAGCCCCCGCGCGCGGGGAGGGGAGGGGGAGCGGGGAAGGGGAGGGGGCGGCACCGCGCGCCCGGAAAGGGAAAGAAGGAAGAGGAAGGAGGAAGCGGAAGCAGGAAGAGGAAGGAGGAAGCGGAAGGAGGAAGCGGAAGTGGCGGCTCCCCCCCCCTCCTCCTCCCCCCCTCCTC